TTTTGATGTCCTAATACCAGAAGTGTAGTGATGCGTTTATCCCATTTTTGCCCCAATATCATTTGTGATATTTAAAGAAGAGGCCGACCGATATGGTATTTTGAAGTCCGATGCCAATTTCGATATTTGAGGATTTTAAAATCCGATATGCTGATATATCTGCTGATATTTTGTTTCCCCCTTATTTTAAGAAACGCATTACAGAAACAAAGATTATCCCTAATATATGTTATGTTGAGACCTCACCAAGATACCATGACATAATGCAGTTTAAAAAGAAACTTTTTTTTATTGTTAAAGTACAGCAAAATATATTAAAACAACAGAAAACATTTTACAAATATCTGATTTGTTATAAATTATGGAGTACTACTAGTGAACATTAAATTAAATAGTGTATGTATTGTGGGGACCAGCGAAACAGAAACTATAAAAAATAAATATACATATATAAATATACTACTACTACCATTTATCAAATCTCAGGTCAATGCTATAATATTAATGATATACAAGGCTCTCCTACATTGGCAAAGAAAAGTATTAAATAAAATAGTTATTACCTTAGATCTGCCGCAATGACTGTTTTCTGCTATGTAGCATATTCACATCTAGTTTATCCCTTTACCAGCACTCTGTTAATTCTAGCCAAAGCTACGAGAAACCATTTCCTAACCACTACCTCAGAATCAAAATCCGCTTTATTGCCAGGTATGTGTACACATACGAGGAATTCGACTCAGGATTGTACATTGCTCACGATGTGCTTACTTGTACAAAAATACAATAATAAAATAAAATCAGACACAAACTACAGTATAGACAACCCTAACATACACACTATGAACAAAACAATTTAGACATATTGACAAATAGTGCAGTGATCAGAGTGCAAAGGATGCAAGAGTAAACTATTATTCTCATGTACATGTTGAAGGTGGACATGATATACAGGTACACATACAGTGTGATGGAACATAGTGCAAAGGATGCTGGAAAAAATAAATAAGACCTATGACCTTATGTTCCTGACACTGAGTCAGAAATCAGCTGTTCATCAGAGTGATGGCTTGTGGGAAGAAACTGCTTCTGTGTCTGTTGGTTTTGGCATACAGTGCTCTGTAGCGCCTACCAGAGGGGAGGAGCTGGAACAGATTGTGTCCGGGGTGAGATGGATCTGCAGTGATGTTTCCTGCCGTTTCCTGACTCTGTAAATGTATAAGTCCTGAATGGAGGGCAGGTTGGCACCAATGATTTTTTCTGCAGTCCTGTCTGTCCGTTGTAGTCTGCTCCTGTCCTTTTTGGTGGCAGATCCAAACCAGACAGTGATGGAGGTGCAGAGAACAGACTGGATGATGGCTGTGTAAAACTGGATCAGCAGGTCCTTAGGCAGGTTGAGCTTCCTGAGCTGACGCAGGAAGTACGTCCTTTGCTGGGCCTTCTTGATAATGGTGTCAGTGTTGGGCTCCCACTTCAGGTCCTGGGATTTAGTGGAACCCAGAAACCTAAAGGATTCCACAGCAGACAAAAGCCTGTTGAGTGTGGTGATGGGGGGCAGAGTGGGGGGGCTCCTCCTGACGTCCACGATCATCTCCACAGTTTTGAGCGTGTTAAGCTCCAGGTTGCTCTGGCCGCACCAGAGAGCCACCTGATCAACCTCCCGTCTGTAGGCCGACTCATCACCTTCCCGGATGAGGCCTTTGACCGTTGTGTCGTCAGCGAACTTCAGGAGTCTGACAGATGGGTCTCCTGTGGTGCAGTCGTTGGTGTAGAGGGAGAAGAGCAGTGGGGACGGCATACACCCCTGGGGGGGCGCCAGTGCTGATAGTCCAGGTGCTGGATGTGATGTTTCCCAGCCTCACCTGCTGACTCCTGTCAGTGGAAGCTGGCACAGTGAGCTGGGTGAGTTTGGTGCCGAGGATGTCCGGGATGATGGTGTTGAATGCCGAGCTGAAGTCCGCGAACAGGATCCTTGCATATGTCCCTGGAGAGTCGAGGTGTTGCAGGATGTGATGCAGACCCAAGTTGACAGCATCATCCACTGACCTGTTAGCCCTGTAGGCAAACTGCAGGGGGTCCAGCAGGGGGCCTGTAATGTCCTTCAGGTGGGCCAACACCAGTCTTTCAAAAGACTTCATGACTACAGATGTCAGGGCGACGGGCCTGTAGTCATTTAGTCCAGAGATGGAGGGGTTTTTTTGGGACCGGGATGACTGTGGAGCGTTTGAAACAGGAGAGAACTTCACACAGCTCCAGTGATTTGTTGAAAATCTGAGTGAAGATGGGGGCCAGCTCCCACCTGGCTCTAAAACATGCCGTCTATGATACAGTGACCCAGAGGAAACGGTGCTGTTGAAGGAATCTAATACTACGTGACTGTCTACAACGACGACCTGCAACTTTTGAGATTTCACACTAACGTTGCACGTTCAAAAGAGGAGCTAGATAGCTTGTTTGGCTGGAAGCCGTGTTAGATTCTTGTTCAGCTCATGTTTATTTACATGTCTCTTCTCATTTCCAACGTACCAACTGTAACGAGAGACAAGTGACTATTTAGAATACGTTAAAAAATACAGTTTAACTGCTCGTTAACGTCTGCTCATTAACGTTAGTGCACCTCTACTGATAAAATGGCATTAGCCAGCATTGTGGCTAATTTAGCAACGGACAGCGTTAGGTGCTGTAAGTGTTGTTAAAGAATATTTAGAAGTAATGAATTAGAGAGAAATGAGAGGACCTAACTGTTTCAGAAATAAATCTATCACGTTTGTCAGCAGCGAAGCCTCTACTACTCATCTACCATAACATTAAACACACTGCTGTGACCTGGGAGAGGGCAGTGAGAAACGGGAGGGTTAGGAAGTATGGTCTGGTAAGAGGAGAGGTGATTAGGGCTATTTTTATTTTTAAGTTATGTAATTGACGTGACAAATGACCAACTCACTGTGTACACTGAGTGTGAGAACTACCAGGAGCTACTCTTCGTACCTCCAGTAGACTCCTGTCAGCTGATGTTTTGCTCTGTAGCGCTGTAGTGTTGTTAACAGGGAAGTTGCAGAGCGCCCTCTGATGGGCAAACTATGCAACACTCATGACATGAGGGATGGATCTGACTCTCTGTTTCTTTTTTTGATAGTCATGTATCAGCTGTTTTAAACGCAGATGCAAATATATATCTCTAGGTGCTTATATGGGCAGATAATATATGCAAAACAATAAATCATTCGGGCTCTAATTTTAAGTATAAGCTGAGTACTGAGTATAAACTGAGTACTGAGCTAATACTAGTGCTCTTTGATTCTTTTTTTTAAATCTATGTATGTCTCCTTTCCTAATTGGAGATGTTCATACTCATACGCATAATTACAGTTTTATAGCAACACGGACTAAGAAACAGTATTTCATGTGGATGAGTGATACATAAAAGTAATGGATTTCTAAATGTTCTTAGTGGTACATTTTAAAAGGAATAACAGTACAGAATATAGCTATTACAAGCGTGTGATTGTTTATGTTAGTCATAACTTCATAAAGAGCACCATGTGGGGCCTGTCTAGTCTCTGCAACCCCTGTTAATTTCTCAGTACATAAAATGTGCCAGTTAGCTTCATTGCCCCGTCAGACTGTGTGTGTCTGGCCATGGCAAGTGCCAGTCTGGCAGCAGGCATTAGTCAGAGCGGAGACAGAACATGCTGTCTGTCAGGCCGCCGCGTTGCCATAGTGACACTGTCTGCTGCTCTCAGGTGCTTCTGGGAAACCATTCCTCACCCAAACCAGCCTGTCTGGGTGCCAGCCACAGGACACAGCTCCTTTTATTCTCCTCACTGTCCATTTATTTCCCCTTTGCTTTTTTTTTTTTTTTTGGTTTGTTCTCTTCTTCATTCTCTCTTTGAGCACAGTCAGAGGGCTCAGGCGGTAATGATTGACCCCATTCTTTTTGCATGGTGAGTTAGAGAAAAGAATAAACCAAGAGAGAGCATGATTTCTTGTTTTTTGAAACCTGAGTCTGTCTGCGCTACAAACACACCACAACAACTACAGCTACAACAACAACAGCCACATTATTCTAATAATAATTAATGAACACAACATACAAATTATGTAACGTTTATTATCATTATTATGGACATTAACACCCACACTTATACTGAAGCTATATTGCTTGGCAGAAGAAGAATATTTAATCATTCATATTATTCAAAGTTACTATGTTTAGTGTTTAAAAAAGAATGAATGGGAGGAATACAACACATAGATGGCGCCATTTTTACATAGATTGTTTAATTTTTTTAAGGCTGGAACAAACTTGTAAATTAATAATTTTGTCTGTAAATTGATTTTTAAAAAAGGCCCATCACAATTTTCTAAAACTCAATGTTGTTTTTTTCTGACCAACCTACAGATATTTGGTTTATTAACACATGAGACAAAGACATGCAGTCTCACAATGGTAATGTTGTCGTTTATGCTTGAAAAAGGACTTAAATGATTAATCATTTACCAAATAACTAATCAATTATTTGACTAATTGTTTTAGCCCACTTAATGACATTTCAACTAGAGTTGCAAAGAATAGATCTGCCCATGCTTGTTGTGTATTTCTGTTCATCGGGTTTATTGACTTGAGCAAACATCTTGCAGCAAAGAGTTTCAGGTAGGGCTGGGTGAAAACACTTGATGCCAAAAAGTGGATAATTTCACAAAACATTCAAAACAATTATAATGATAGATGAAAGATTATCTTTTTCTCAACAAAATAAATATCTTAATAGAAAACTGAAGTGCTGTTTTGTGATTCAGATTAATTACATTGAACATTTGTTATATCTATATTGAGGAAAATTATATCGCAGTAATTATTATCATTTTATCGCCCAGCCCTCGTTTCAGGATGCTTCTCTTTTGTAAGAAACATAAGGCAACTGCAGGTAAGACAAACCTGGGATATGATTTTACTGTATTATCACCTTATTTCTCCATTTGTCTTTCCTTTACTCCAGGGTCCAGTGACCTGTGTGGCCTTTTCCAGGACAGGAGAGTACTTTGCCTCTGGAGGTTCTGATGAACAGGTGATGACTTATTCTTCTAACTGATACTAAAACATTGAGCCAGATATAGAAGGTATATGGAATGGCTTGCTGGTGTCTTGGTAGCCAAAGGTCCATATCATGTGCCTACCTCACACTACTGATATTGATACAGAAGGACATACTGACAATTTATTAGACAATGAACTTGTAAAGGAGAAAGCAAAAAAAAAATATATATATATATATATATATATACACACACACACACACACAGACGATTCTTGTTCATTTGACTTTGGTGTATTATTTTGGAAGAAGCATTATTTTATATTCATCTTACAGGTAATGGTGTGGAAGAGCAATTTTGACTCTGGTGCTGAATACAGTGATGGAGTCCGTCTGCTGCATAGAACTACTTCCAGCTCGCAGGCACCACCAGCCAGCTCCGCAGCTCAGCCGCCCTTTAACTCGCATTCAACTGTGTTCCGCAGCCAGGTAAGTTCAGAACAGCTGGAGACAACCAAAGCGATCATACAGCAAATCTGCTTTGATGCCCCATTTAGATCCAGCTGTTTATGCATCCCCTTTGCTCCTTTTACACAAATTTATTTTTATCCTGGACACCAGCCAGTCACATACCACATAGCCTCTTATTTCCCTAACACAACTAACATGCAAGAATCACTAATGAATAAGCATCAGCACACTGTTTAGACTTCACCAGGAAATGTTTACATCGTGTCGGCAAGCTTGGTTTTGATTGTGAACCAATGTAAAAATGAGTTTTCTCTGGCTTAAACTTTTGGAAAGCCCCATTGCTTGTATTTCAATTGATTTTTTATATATTTAATTATTTGGCATCTATTTTTGGCATTTTATGCAGACAGGAGGTTAAGAGGTATTTCAAATAACTGCAACAACCTCTTAAGCCACCAAGATGGCCCATATTTCAGTTGATTTTGTAGTTTAAAAGTCTTCAGTGCTTTTTTATAGCACTATGTGGTCATCTAGATCTTTCTAAATTTTAAGACCAAGGATTGCCTTAACCAAATAAGGTCCAAAACTTGCAAGAGGCTACAGTACATGTCTATAAGTAAGAAAAGGTTTGAACAAGATACTGATTTTGATATTCGTAGATCTTTACCAGTAGTACACCTAATATATAAAATTTGCCCTATGGCTTGCCCAAACAAAACTCTCATGAAGACTTATGAAATAATGTAAAAGCGGGGTCATCTCATAGGCTAATAGGGTACATCCACACAAATCTACACACACAGGTAAGTCTGTGTGCTCACATTAACACAAAAAAGACTAATTGAAACAAGAGTGCACACACATTTGCCTGCATGTGTGTCTACTGGCTTAAAAATACACATGTAAGAAACACATGCGCAGATCCCCCTCAGTATTTCATGCTGCCACTGCAGCTGGCTTTTTTCCTCCCTGCATATCCTTCCTTTGAAGTCTGCAGTGTGGCCCAAAGCTACATTCATATCTCACATGAAGGGCAAGAAACACCTACTTATTCCTGCAAATACCCCCCCATCTTTTTGACCTCATGAAATATTAATCCGCGCTTAACTTATGACTACATCTTCTAATGCAATAGAATGTAGAGATATTTTACTAAACTACAGGTGAGTTTTGAAAATGTTGATGACAACAAATTATCAGAATTGAAAACCGCAGTAAGGAGTAATGAGGTGTTATGTTCAAACGGATGCTAGTAATGTCAAAGTGCTACAAATTCCTGTGATTATTGTGTCTTATGAATTACCTTATATAGTGCTGAAATGTGACCCTGACAAACAAAAAGGACTAAAAATGTTATTCCTTCAAGGGCTATTTCTCATTTGGTACTTCCAAAATGGCTTGTGGTTACGTTTATTTCTTGCCCTGTACAATCTCATTTTAGTGTATTTTGTATTAGACATTTCTAACTCAAGAACACATCAATACTATTATTCTTAATGTCATTGCAGTACATGTGACACTGACACTATCCTGATTCATACTGTTTTTATTTAATTTGACAACTAAGAGGTTTGGACAATATTAAGAGTCAATAAATGCCAAAGTCAGTTATACTATAATATATTCTGATGAGGGAAAAAATCAAGCCTTCCAGACTAAAGCCCATTTTGTGGCAGCATCCGTTTACATGTAATTTAATAGAACATCATTCTCTGTGTTCTGTGTGGTTGACTAGGAGTCTGTATTTGCACTGACTGGGTGTCGTCATTACAGGAAGCTGTTGTTAGCTGTTGTGACCGTTCAGGCTGATATATTATCAATAAATACAAACAATGGGAGTAGATACATTATTTATGATCAGTTTCTTTTCAGTCTGTTACCAGCCTGGTAATGACTCAGACTCTCAATAGCATGGCTAAACAATTAATCGAAATATTATCAAAATCGCAATATGGCCAAGTACAGAATCCAAATATCAGGAGCTGTAAGTTTTAAAGGTAAAATGTGTCACAACATACCATTATAAATGAATCATTGTGGTCCTACAGAGACGTCGCGGCCTACTAATTATATGGGACAGCCTGTTAGAGGTGTGTATATATATTCATTTTTCTTCAGATTTAAAAGTAGATTAATTTCATTACTAATGTGTTGTTTGAATTAACAGGGTTGAGCAAATTTGTTTTCTCAGGAGTTTAAATACTAATTTTTAAAATGTTCTTATCATACTGCAGTGGTTCTCAAACTTTTTCTGTTCACTGTTCAAACTGTGGCTGCAGGTAACGACAATTTTCAGAACCTCTTTTGAATACTTCCTTGATAATGACTTAAACGGTTACTTATTTATTAAAATGGTCTGTGTCTGTGTGGGAAAAAAAGAAACATGGAGGTGACAGAAAAGATCAAACCAAAAGACAAATGATTACAACAAACACAATGTGAGAGAGCAGTGCAGCCATTAGCGACGTTTAAATATTAAAAGACCTTGTCAGATGTCTCATACACACACACACACACACACACACACACACACACACAAATGGGATAGTGTCACACGCTGGCCAGGGAACCTCAGGGAATGGTTTGGATTTCAACCCTTTTGACTGCTACAGTTACTTACACATCAACAAGGTCACAGACAAAGTCCTCTCTCTTGCTGTTTCTTACTCACACACACAAACACACCCTGCTTTCTCTTATTGATCACTCTGCTAGAAGTTAAGATCCACTCACAGTGATGTTGCCTTGACTTTACACTTTGTTGAAAACCCAGTATAGCATAAGACTCATAATTAACAATGTATGTAATAGGTAAAAAAAGAGTATTAGTAGTACTGGTTTAATATTATACCATGTCTAAGTTAGTTAATGTTTTTGATACACAAAATTATTGACTGACTACCAAATCCTAAAGACCATAGCACATACAGCATAGAATACTTGGTAAAGAAAAAATATATTTCTTATTTACAGTTCTTCTCATGCCAAGTGTGTTTGTACCTTTTAATGGCAAACACATGTAGTTTTTAGTTTAGTTTTTGTTGACGTTGTGTGCCAGCAATGATATGTTGTTACATATCTTCCCTCTGCAAATCAGGGATGGCGAACAACAGAATCAGATGTTTCTCCATAGATTCTTTTTTTAACCTTTGTCAAACCAGTAGGTGAACAAAACTCTTATTTATCAGAAAGCTTCATCAGTCAACTTAGGCCCAGTATTGGCCAATAGCAATTTGGAGCAAGTGTTTAAGCATATCAGATATGTGAAGGCGTCTTTATAGACTTGAGCAGTGTACAAAACAGTACAAAGTACAAAACTTTTAATGTCTTTTAAACACCCGTTTTCTCTATGCCATCCTTGGACCCTTCGGGGCTCTTTTTCTTCTCTGTCTTGACTGTCTTTCTTGCTCTCGCTGCTGTGATACAGGATTGTAAATGGATTTTAATTGCTCTTCCACTCAACAGCCATTATTAGAGATGTGCCTCAAAGGGTGATTAGAAAATGGGCAGTTGGACCATGTGGAGAGAGATGATTAGTGCAATGTATGAAATGTATTCTCTTCTTCTGAGAACTACTGTTCTTGGAAAACCCCACTGAACCCTTTCATTGGGAATGATGGTTTTTTCAGATACAGCTGTATGACGGTTCAGTGCTTTACTTCATATCTGCTTGATTAAGAAACGAGGTGCAAGATGGTTCAGATCTGTTTTTTGTTGGCTCTCTATCATCTAAAAAACATGCATTTTTACATGGTAAATTTATTTGTCCTGTAATTTTTTGTGTCTTTTTTTATACTGTACTGCAGTGTGTTGGTTGTTGTCTGGTCAGTTTAGCCCAGTTCGTGTAGCTGGGTTTGATAGCATATTATTTAATCTGAATCCACTTCAAAATCCTTTTGATTCCCTCAGTCTTTATATATACTCATAGTATGTAGTCTCAATATAGTCTCAGAATTTTGAACGAAATTCTGGCATGTTTGAACCTGGGTTTTATTGTCATAATTATGGCCATTTGGGAAATGTGGGCCCCACTTAAACATATATTGGGGTCAAGCAGCACAGACATCCTAACATGCCTGAAGTAACTTCAGTTTTGAATTTCGTCAAATTTTGTCCCTGAGTTCAGCAAAAAACAAAACAATAAATCCCATGTACTTTAACATACATAACGTTACTGTTACCAATAGTTAGTGTTAAGCTACCAAGAAATAAAAAGCTATTTGTCCATCAGGAAACTTCATAAATCAGAGTTGGGAAAACCAGAAAATATTTTTTAATTTTCCTTCATAACGATAAAAGCACTTTCTGTGAGACACACTGCACAGCACAACTTACAGCTCTAGCTCTATAAGTTCATATGACCGCCAAGGTTATTATAGTTTAGGATTTTTCATTAGTTTTTATTTTATTTTGTTTTGACTTTGTTTTCAATTTCAATTTCTTAGTTTTAGTTTAGTTTTTATTAGTTTTAGTCTTTGTTGCTGCAGGATGCCAAGCTCAGTTCAGTTTAGTTCAGTCCAGTTTAGTTTTTTCACCAAACATTAAGTACAACTAGAACTGCAAGCAGTTGTAAGCGGGGTCCAAGCCGCTCCCCCTGGCCCCGCGGAGGATCGTGCGAGTCGGCCCGGGCCCGCCATGATTAATTGTCCCAATTAATTGGCTCGTGGAGAATAAATGAGCAGAGATATAAATGAAAGGGGCATGCGGTTACAGAGATCTGAAATGAATGTATGTCTATGGGAGTGTTATTTGCTTTCTAATTAAGAGCGTGACCTAGAGGCAGGCTGATGCAAAATTTCACACAGGCCCTCGAGAGGTGGTGCCAGATAAGGTCTCTGAGTTTGGTGTATCGGCCATTGCAAACGTAAGATCTGAGATGACATCCTGTTTTTAGCGTTTGCGCAAAAATGTGTTAGCTTGTAATTCGGCCATTTTTTGGCGGATCAAAATTCCCTGTACAAACTTTGTTCGGCTTGGTCCAGAGATGGTCTGTGCCAAGTTTTGTGGCGATCGGACTT